GGCGGCCAATTGAACTGAACTGAACTGGGCAAAAAAAACAACGGAGCTCCAAAAGCAAAGCAAAAACGCCCACGCCAAAAGGCCCAGACACAGAAAATTAAAACCGACTACGACTTTTGGAGCAGAAGTTGGCAAAAACGGAGCCAGAAGTTTGGGCCAAAAAATTCCATAGTTCCATAGGCAGACAGTGGTTGAAAATAGGATTGTTATGCTTAAACAATAGTTCTTATTCAGTGAATTAGTTCCGGCTTGTGGTTCATTATTCATTTATTTTCGGTATGTTTTTGACAAGTTTGACAACTAGAAAATTACAATGCTTGTTAAAGTACTATTAATTTTAATACGGGTTTGCCATTCTCCACATTTCTTTCATATTTTCTTTAGTGATTTGTATAATTTTTTTTCGAGTTTCTGCCTTGGCTCACCCAGTGCCCCATCGATCTACCGCCGACAGCTTCCTTCCTGCGCTGACTGTGCGCTGTCCACACACTTCCCGGAGCCACTGTGTCCCGAGGAGTTTGTGTGTTGGCGTCGCCGGTCGATTGGTTTCAATTTGTTTCCCATTTAAACACACTCATGTGGCATGTGGCCAAAGTCGCAGTCGAACTCGGATCGTATGCTACACACAAATAAGGAAGCAATTTGCTTCTCTCTTTTTTTCCAGCCACAGATTTTCAAGTGAGGAAACGAAGCGAGACTGCGACTCGAGTGAACTGGGCAAAAATCTGTGCTCCAAACTCGCAAATTCGCAGACAAATTATGCGCAACGCCAACGCAGCGTCAGGGGAATAATCAAAAAGATCGCAGAAACAGAAAAAAAAACTATGTAAAATAAAAGGGTAGAAAAACCCCTGAGTTCCATGGCAAAATTGGGCATTCAAGCCAAGAATTTCTGCGTCTGGCGCAATCGCGTTCAATCGTTTATTATTTATTATTATGCATGCCAAGCGACACCTATGCGCTGATTGATTGACTGACGGATTGACTGAACAATCCCCAGATATGGCTATGCATATTCCCCGATCCAGAGGATATATCTTTCGCTGTCACATGTCAAGGACGAAAATGATGATGATGATGACTGCTGCAGAATTGCTGCATAAATTTGCATAACAAGAAATGCGAACAATTGCAAATCATTGCATTCAAAGCATTAAAAGACACTGGGAAAGTAAAGCAGTTCAATTTCATAAAAAATATAAAATAATATATAAAATATAAAAATATATAATATATTAAATATTCATCCTATTTCATATTTAATACTTAAAAAATATTAAATTTAGAAAAAACGATTTAGTTTTGTTTCTTAAAAATCAAATGGGAATTCTTTGCAGTGCAAGTCCCGTGACTCATGCTCCTGCAAAAGGAGTACTTGTGGTCAAGTATTTTCTTGGAGTGCAACTGCAACAACATCGCTTGTTGCATGTTGCTTGTTGCCAGCGGCAATGTTGCTCTTCATATTTCAGCGGCGCAACTCTGTCGCCATCCAAACGTCGTGTTTTTTGTTTTTTGGACCACCGCTTATCGCGATTTGTAACAATATGCTGCTGAATAATTTTCGGATTTTTTCTTGCCTTATTTTATTTATTTTTGTTGCTTTTCTTGTTTGCAACAGCAGCATTTGTTTGTTGTTTGCTGCCAGCTTTTGTTGTTTGCATTTCAATGTCTCTCTGGGGACTTTGCGTAAATATTTGCCATTTTATTGCGAGTATCTTTATCGGCATGGGAGCCAGCCACGAATTTTAATGTTTAATTAGCCCATTACGACAGCTCATCTCATCCGATGATCGTTTGGAGAAACAAAGCCTAATGAACTTCCGTTTTGCCTTGGCCAAGTCTGTAAACTGGGCTGGGAAAAAGGCCCAAGAGAAAAGCTTAATTGGCAGGGCCATCTAAAGGCTAAGATCTTTAGCTTGGAATCAGCAAATGTTAGGACTAGGTTTACTTTATTTAAATTTTAAAACCATACTCTCAAGGTAATTTTAACCCATTTTCATTATCAATTTTTCCGTAATACCAATGGATTTTAGTATGGGAACCCAAAACCACACTTCCCTAATCCACAACTTGAGTTATTGGGTTCCAATTTTAACGAGGGATACCTCTGTGAAATCGTCGTTAAATTCTCTAATACACTTTGTTCAAATATTTATTTTTAAAGAAGGTCCAAATTTTAGCCCATTTTCATGTTGAATTTTTCCGTATTTGCAATGGTTTTCGGAATGGTACCTCCAAAACTGCACTTTATATGCCATAACTTTAGTTATTGGATTCCGATTTTGACGTTGGATACCTCTATGAGTTTGTGGTTGAATTCTCTAATATTCTACATTTAAATCTTTATTTTTAAAGAAGGTCCAAATTTTAGCCCATTTTCATGTTAAATTTTTCCGTATTTCCAATGGCACTCGAAATGGTACCCTCAAAACTGCACTTCTATATCCCATAACTTCAGTTATTGGACTCCGATTTTAACGCGCGATACCTCTATGAAATCGTGGTTGAATTCTCTAATACACTTTGTTCAAATATTTATTTTTAAAGAAGTTCCAAATTTTAGCCCATTTTCATGTTGAATTTTTCCCAATTTACCCCCAAGACTGCACTCAATATGCCATAACTTTAGTTATTGGGTTCCGATTTTGACGTGTGATACCTCTATGATTTTGTGGTTGAATTCCCAAATATTCTACATTTAAATATTTAATTTAAAAGAGGGTCAAGATTTTGAACCATTTTCATGTCAGATTTTTCCGTATTCATAATGGGTGCCAGAGTGGGAACCCAAAACCGCACTTCTAAAATCCATAACTTTAGTAATTTGATTCCGATTTAGACGTGGGATACTTCTATGAATTTCTGGTTGAATTCTCTAATATTCTACATTTAAATATTTCATTTTCAAGAGGGTCTAAATTTTAGCCCGTTCGCATGTCAGATTTTTCCGTATTTCCAATGGCTTTCAGAATGGGAACCCAAAACTGCACTTCTAGATTCCATAACTTTAGTTGTAGGATTCCGATTTTGACGTGGGATATCTCTATGAGTTTGTGGTTGAATTCTCTAACACTCTACATTTAAATATTTCAATTACAAGAGGGTCACAATTTTAGCCCATTCTCATGTCAGATTTTTCCGCATTTCCAATGGCTTTCAGAATGGGAACCCAAAACTGCACTTCTAGATTCCATAACTTTAGTTATAGGATTCCGATTTTTATGTGGGATACCTCTATGAGTTTGTGGTTAAATTCCCTAATATTCTACATTTAAATATATCATTTACAAAAGGGTCACAAATTTAGCCCGTTCTCATGTCAGATTTTTACGTTTTTCCAATGGCTTTCAGAATGGGAACCCAAAACTGCACTTCTAGATTCCATAACTTGAGTTCTAGGATCCCGATTTTCATGTGGGATACCTCTATGAGTTTGTGGTTTAATTCTCTAATACTTTACATTTAAATATTTATTTTAAAAGAAGGTTCAAATTTTAGCCCTTTTTATGTTAAATTTATCCGTATTTCTATTGGCATTCGGAATGATACCCCCAAAACTGCACTTTTATATACCATAACTTCAGTTAGTGGACTCCGATTTTGACGCGGGATACCTCTATGAGTTGAGAATTCTCTAATACTCTACATTTAGATATTTCACTTTCAAGAGGGTCAAAATTTTAGTCCATTTTCATGTTACATTTTTCCGTATTTCCAATGCCTTTTGGAATGGTACCCCCAAAACTGCACTTCTATTTGCTATAACTTGAGTTATTGGTTTCCGATTTTGACGTGGGATACCTCTATGAGTTTGTGGTTGAATTCTCTAACACTCTACATTAAAATATTTCAATTACAAGAGGGTCACAATTTTAGCCCATTCTCATGTCAGATTTTTGCGTATTTCCAGTGGCTTTCAAAATGGGAGCCCAAAACTGCACTTCTAGATACCATAACTTTAGTTATAGGATCCCGATTTTCATGTGGGATACCTCCATGAGTTTGTGGTTGAATTCTCTAATATTCTACATTTTAATATTTCATTTTCAAGAGGGTCGAAATTTTAGCCCGTTCTCATGCCAGATTTTTCTGTATATCCAAAGGGGTTAGAATGGGATCCCAAAATTGCACTTCTAAAATTTATAACTTAAGTAATTGGATTCCGATTTTAAAGTGGCATACCTCCATGAGTTTGTGGTTCAGTTCCCTGATATTCTACATTAAAATATTTATTTTAAAATCGGATCAAAATTTTAACCATTTTCATGTTATATTTTTCCGCAAACAAAGTCGCAGGGGGGAAGGCTAGTATGATAATAAAGGGTTAAATCATCCAAAGATTTCAGAAGAAGCCTTCGATAATTAATCGAATTGATTCCAAATCAAGTGCACATTTGATTCCAAAACAGAACCAGTTCTTCATCTTGGATCTATAAAAACAGACTGCTGATTGCCTCTAGTTACCCTATAATCAAGTTATTCGTGCGCATGTCAGCCGTATCTCTCCATCTAAATCAAGTGGCAAACATTTGACATTGTTTGCATCTGATTCGCATTTGGATACGGATTCCATTTGATTGCCAGAACAGAACGTCGCTATAAAGCAACAACCGATCCGAAAAATAGTAGTCACAAATTTGCATTTTGATGGCGGTCATAAAGGTTTTCGGCGGTGCGGCAAATGAATGCAATTAACAAGTGTTCTTGCAGTGCAGCCCACGCATCTTAGAATCATATGCCTCTGCCAAATTGAATATCCCAATCAAGTTCTCCACTTGCCCAAGTACCGCCTGTCTACGGTCTACTGTCTACGGTCTTCTGTCTTCTGTCCCCATCTTCTGGGGTCTGTGGTATTCGGTCTTCAGTCTTCTGTCTTCTGTGTGTGCAGTGATTGTTGTTTTAATTAACGAGCTCGGCTCGAAATCAATTGCTTCCACAGCCATGCACCATTGCACGGAAAAAAACGAATCATTTCTCATCTTGTTTAGTGTAATGAGTAATATAGTTCTGTATTTTAAATTGGGAAAAATATAAACACTTGTGTGGATCTGTTAGTTATAACAAAGTAAAGTTCTAGGAATCACATAACAGGTGTGTTCCATTTTCTTCATCCAACAGCAGTTACTTCTGAGGTCCTTCGGTGATGACCTTTGCTACATCGCCACTGCCAGTTGGCCAGATGTAAACCAGTAATATAGCGAGTAGAATTACTGCGATTATGCCCAGGGTTATCATCATCTTCACATTGGCCCACCAGTGTTTGCGTTTCAATCTCCCAGACTGTCGAACAAACTGAGAGGCTCCCAGTTCCAGTTGGTCAGCTCGTTCGGATAGTTCCAATAGCGCCTGATCGCGTTCCAGGACCTTCTCCACATTCACCCGCATTATGCCGACCACCTCGTCCACCTGGGCCTGGGTATCCAAAAGTCTCTGCTGGGCATCCAAATTGGTCTCCGATTGAGCGCAGGAACTGAACTCCTTCATTTCCAACTCCATTTCCATCATTTCGATAGCACCGCTTTGTGTAAATATTTCAGTTTGTGATGATGACATGGCTGATACGGTTTTCAGATCCGAATTGGAATTGATAACTTTCTCAAGGCACTCCAATACATATTTAGCTTACCACAAAAAATGTGACTTAATGTTCTATATGTATATTTTAATCTATAAATATTTTAGAAACTAAGACATGTTGATTATCATTTTTTCCAAGTGCTGCTGCTGTTCCACTGTTTTTGTTTTCTTGTATTTTTTACTGATGGGGCTGATCTACTTGAGCACTTCGGCTTGGATTTCATCTGTCTAATCTGGGGTCTCCGCGATCTGCTAGAGACATTGAACACGGCTGCTCCAAATGCTCAATACGGTTGCCAGTTGTGCCAGCTTGTTTATTAGCCCAAATGCGAGTTCGCCTGTTCGCTCGGCATTCGCTTTTGGATAATTATTTATTAAGGTTTTACATAACGCAGCCATCTGTCTGTCCCTGTCCCTGTCCCAGAAAAAAAATACACCACATACACTGTACACTTTAATCGATTCAAGGTTGTTCTTGCATCGACGGCGGAGCCAAAGATATAGATACAGCTGCAGGTACACAAGAAGAAACGATAAGATACTTGGCACAGCAACCATGAACTAAAATTAAATTTAATGCCATAAATAAAGAAAATAAAAATAAGATGAACTTATTAGCTATAATAGTCTTTGGGGATCTACTATACCATAAGTACTAGTCTTTTTTTTCCAGTGCCGTCTTAGTAAGAAATGCTTGCAGATCTAAGGTGATGAGCTGTTGTTTTGCCAGCTAATGTAGATAGAGATATTATTCGTGCGAATGTCGAACTAGTCCCTGAACTGTGAACTCTCCGTTTTAAATCAAGATCTGTTAGTGTGCGCTGTCAACTCATTCGGGCTCAACGTCTTAACTTGAATACTTTTTAGCATTACAAAAATTTCTGTAACATTTTGGACTAATCATTTTAGACTGCAATCAAGGTGAAACCCGATACACCACTATCAATATACATCAACCATGTCCCTTTTCCGCTGGCGAGATCCCAGTTTCTTGCACACCCTGAACTTTGTGAGGGGAATCCGCACTGGAGCCAACAAGGTGGCGAATAATCCCCGCCAGCGAAGTCGATTGCGTCGCCAAGCCGAGTTCCGATCATCGGCGAGAACCCACGAAAGCAGATTTTCCCCATCTCGTCTTCGCCAGGGGAAAAACTTTCGGGCAGAGGCCGCCCAGCATCCGAATCAGAAGCTAACTTCTTATGGGGAGTACATGCAAATGATGGCCAGCCTGCATGAGAAGCAGATGAAACTGGAGGAGGACATGGCCCGGGCCGAAATTGCACTGAAAAAAGAAAAGGAACGAGAAGAACACGAAAAAGATGAACAAGCAAATGAGGCACCTTTTATGCTGGTAAGAATTCCTACACAGAAAAAAACAGATAAGAATCAATTTGATATTTGCATGGTTAGTTTACTAAGAATCATTTTTCTCTGTGTTGTATTATTCTGAAGTTATCAATAGTATAGTTATACAAATCCTTCCCATAACTTAGTGCGCTGAGGATGTGACTGGACTACGCAAGTTGTATCTTATGGATAGCGAAGAGCACCAAATCGAGGTCCTTAAGATGCACGACAGTGATCGGAGCTTTATGGGTGAGCCATTGGACGAGCCCGAAGCTGTAGTTCAGAGTCTAGGACGCCTCCAGATGTTTGAAGACAGTATTCCCTGGACACCGAGCAGTGAGATCGATGAGATTGTGGATCTTCCGGAGTTGAAAGATGGTGAAGAGCAATGGAACCCGGACTCGATTCATGGAAATTGGGTGCGCCGCGTGATGCAATTCCTGCGCTTTCGGCGACTCTCGTAAAAGTCCCTTGGAATCAACCGACTTTTCCCGGTTCAATCCCAATCTCAGTCGGTGTTTCCAGTTTACACTCTTCATTTCCATGCTTCAGCGAATGCGCAGTCATCTGGATAACAATCGTGGTCAGAGTCCGTTTAATTTGTTTGCGCTTTGGTCTCTTGCCCAATCTTCATTCGGCTTGGCTGGCCAAGTGGAGTGCTCTGTCCCAGAAGTTACATTTGTATTCCCAAGGAGTGTACGGCAGTTTTACCAAAACTTCAAAAACGAATCATTATTTTGGAAAATTGAAGAAATTTAGGATATTTAGCAGAGCACAATGAGAGAGTACAATGGGTCTTATCATATTTGTTAGCCCGATCGCCAGCACACGCATGCAATATATAAGTTATAATTAAATTATTAATCATACATCTGTGGTTTTACAATTTTGTATGGGGCTCTGGTAAATGAGGTTTCATTTTTATGTGTAAATTGGACGAATATATCATATAGCTGTCATAGGAACTATCTCTATATTGTATACAAATATTCAGAGTATTTTTATATGTCCCGTATCCCCAAAGTTTCTACGAAATAAAGTTTCAATTTAGTTTAATAGAAGGACAAGCTCTGAGATCAAATCTGATTTCCGAATAATTTATTGAAAAATATCTGTGCCAAATATTGTTCCATGTTTGAGACAAAGTAGGGTGTCCTGTGGTCAATTCGTTGGGCTTTTGGGGTTTTCTCAAGCGAACCGCATGCACTTGGCCTTCTGGGTGTAGGTAACAGCGCCATACTCCTCCACAATCTGATCGATGGCGATTTTGTTCAGATTCTCCAGATAAAGACGCGTCTTCCGCGACTGGATAATATAGCTGATGACGTCGTGCATGTTATCGAAGAAGAGGAATCCAGCGGTGCCGCAGCTGAGATCCAAGTATCGGAACCGATTAACATCGCAGGTGCATCCGTCGAACAGGAAGTAGATGAAGTCGTTGTTGTTGTGATATCGGAAGACCACGTAGTTGCCCCATGGGGCCATCACGAAGACCCGCTCGGCACACCGGAAGCCGGCCCTCAGCAGCTTGCAGATGCTGTCGTAGCATCCATTCTCCGATCCCACCACCGCCATCGTTTCCGGTATGCGAAGGAGCGCCGGATAATGATTCGGCTGGGCCCGGAGGACATCATGGGGGCCAGTGGACTCTGGACAGGCGTCGAGCGGCTGCATCAGCTTGGGTGGCTCCGGACACGGCGGACATGGTGGTGCTTCGATGGGGGCCACAGCCACCGTGGACTTGCCCTTCTTTCCCTTGCCCTTGCCTTTGCCCTTCTTGCCCATGGTAACGGGGGGGTTAGTGGCTCCTCTGCGACTTCTGGTCTATATGGACTATCTAGATCCCGAGGGGATCACTCGGAAACGCCTGTGCAATCGCCTTCGATCACTTGCAAATGGTTAGCGACGAGCCAAAAGGGCACATAATACCCTTGGTCAGCTGAGAAAATAATTAAGATTCAATTAATAACCAGCATAGTGAATAACCGAAGGTAAAGCATTTAAAGGAATATGTAATTTAAGCTGGAATGTTATCTATCAATATATCAAAAGGTTGTTTCTAAAACTTGCTTTATGCATTGGCATTCATAGATTAACGATTAAATGGGCGTACCAAGAGCATTACCAAGAATTACTACATAAAAGCCATATATAATGGCTTATTAAAGGTTCATCTTTTCAAAAACCCAGTGTGCTAAGGCTTTAATGTCAGTTAAAAATATTTTTTTTTAATATATGAATTTAATGCCCAAATGAAACTCGAAGAAACCTTTAAATTCTAGCAAGAAAATCAGCTAAGCCACTGCTTAACGGCTTCAACAATAAGCCATCGACCAAGAAACACCACGAGGTTTACCTCTCAAAACCTTACCGCGTCTAATTGCCGCGATATCTTACTTCACTCACCAATTAGTTAAACGCGATTTGAATTTTAAACACACTCGACACACCGTTTCTTTGTCTCTTTCTATCTTAAAGTTAAGCCGAAAGGAAATTTTGGATCTGAATGAGAACGAATCGGTAAAATTTTGTCAAGATTTCTGATGGAATTTTTTCCGAGTTTTTTTTGTGTGTTTTTGTGTGCTCAGAGACGATTTTACTACTGATTTTTTGCCATCTGGCTGCTGGGAGCTAAGTCCACATACTGACAGTTTCGGCAAGGAGAACTGATTCAAAAAAATAACAAAAACCATTTGCTCAAAGTGTTCAGATTAGAACAGGCCTACTTGGAAACGTGGGGGAATTATTGTAATGGGATAAGATATAACATGATGTCGTTTACAATATTTAAACATTTTTCTTGGGAAGAAAAATTACCAGAAACGTGTAAAAAATGTTATTGTCGGTTGTTGCTCACTTAAAGTGTTGAAAATTCAATTAGAATTCCATCAGAAAATCGGCGAGTCCAAACACTGTCTGCCTACTGAATCTCCGACTATCCATTCTTCTGCACTTAAAGAAAAGGTTTTTTTAAATATAAAAAGTATAAAATAATATTTAAATAAAATGTATCAAATGAATCTCTTTAACTTTTTAACAAACTTTTAAGTAAATGGCTAGCGGTTAAACACTTAATTCCTAAAAACCATTGCCAGAATTTTCCTAGATTATTTTTTCCGAGTTATATAACGTCTAGAGTCTGTTCATCCATCTCCCTGTTCGCGTATCTATCCATCTAGGTGTCTGGGCATCCAAAACTGGCTGCTGAAGCGCAATTCTGCGAGAGACAAATGCAAATTAAGCAATTGCCCGCGGCCACAGCAAGGCAGCTTAATTAAATTGTGTTTGCCAAGGAGACGCCAGATATCAGATATAGTAAGGCCAAACCATATAGCCAGACTGCAGCACATATTCTTGGGCAATCAGGTGGGAAGTGCGATTGCAAAAGGATCCTCGGACGCGGAAAAGTGAATGGCTGTCAAAGCAATTAAAATGTGTGCCCACTGTGCACTCGAGACCCTTGGCAGAAATCCAAAGTCTGGGGGCTGGATTATATATATATTCAAAGGGGAGAACTCAGATGTAAATTGTGGAAATATGGAAATAATTAAAAGTCAGCGAGAGGGAGCCAAAATATCCGAGAACCTGTTGCAATGTGTTTTTTGGTGGACAATGGTTGAATGGATGAAGTGCAATTACCCAGAGCCTCTGGTTCCGCACAGTGGTTGTATATCATTTCTAGGGAAAGGAAACCAAATCGAGAAAGTCCCATTAAAATTATCAAAAAGAAAGGCTTTCATATTACTTCAAATATAGTTTCTAAATAAATAGTGAATGGTGTTGTATCGACAGTAAAGGCCTAAACATAAAACATGTGAAATAATGTTTATCCAAACATTATAGTTTACAATCATGCTATAAAAGAGAAAGTATTTTAAAAGTTGTGTGTAGATAAAATAAAAGCCGATCGCCTGACTGCCATCGATATTTCACCAGCGTTTTGTGTGTGTTTTTCGGTAGTTTGGCGCCAAAACTTCTCACCACAGTGCAATTGGCATGATCGCATGCAAATCTATTAGGTTCCAAATTCGAATTCCCCCCGGAGATCGCTGACTAAGCCACAAATGACTCTCGACAGCCTGAATTTTTGGTCTAGCCAAGTGGCTATGGCTTTTCCAATGGCTTGGTATGTTTGTTGGTTTTCGGTCTCGTGTTCCTTGGCTTTTTTATGCTGCCTATTTTCCACCTTTTTTGTTTGCCCAATTTGCGTCATTAATTTGTTTGGCGCTCTAATCAAACGAAGCCGGCGAATGGCGTTTACACGTACTTGGGAAAATCTATGAAGTATTTGGAAAGTGGCTAAAAAAACTTAAAGAATAATCTATAAAGAACCCTATTATTATTGCAATTATTTATTTATTTAAATGACCATAAATAATGGGATAAGATATCCCACGAACCGCTGAAATACAAGTCGCATGCTTTGCATAATTCCATGAAATTTATGCCTCAAATGATGCCCATATACAGATAAGCACGTGAAATCATGCTCTGCGAATTATGCCTGGTATTTTTGTATTTTTTGCCCAGTTACCATGATGATGACACCGCCATTGCAGTCGCAACCACACATATCCAGTGGGTTCAGTGGGTTCAGTGCTGCCTTCTGGTGCCTTGGTGGTTCCAAATCCAAAACCGAATCCAAGTCCGCATCCAGTGGGGCACGGGCACACTTCTTCTACGAGTATTGCTTCATCCGAAAGAAACTCTCGGCTAATGGGGCAACTCAACCTGTCTCGCCGGCAAACGTGAGTCGGCAGGTTTAGGACACCCATATGGAGTTATCTCTGTATATACAACTATATGCACAGATGTGGGTGCTCATCCATGGTATTATATAACCAGTCGCCACAATGTGGGAGCTAAGCAAACATCTGCTAACTGCCGGTAATTAGCTGTCACGGGATGGGAAAAAATGGTAGGTCAGTGAACCCCTCACATTCTAATGTCCAGATTATATTATAGCATAGAAGATATATCAATAAAAAGGGATATAATAAATATTAAGTATTTTGCTACCAGTAAACCCCTTAAACTCTAATAAAGATTTATCAATAAAAAGGGATTTAATAAATATTAAGTATCATGCTATATAGTCTGTCCTCTAAGAAGTCATTTCATTAAACCTCTTAACAATACACAGTACTTATATAGAAATGTCATTATTCTTAGGTCGACATCCAAAAACATATCTAGTAATTTAGATGTTTTAACAAATAAATCTTTTAAATATTTAGTTTACAAATCCTTACTTACATTTCTTTAAAATCTTACCATTTTAAAGTTATGTGATGATTTTCACTATGTTTTAATTAAATATATCTAAGAAAGTTAGTATCTTAAGTAGTTTTTCGAATACTTGGTCGTTAGGTAAAGCTTTTCTTGGCTTCTAACATTGATCATAAAAGTTTTCCCAAGCCATCAGCCTATAAAGCTTGGGTCTTAAGCAGCGACAACTACCAAAACCGAAGCTTAAGTTCGAGTTACCAAGCTTTGAAGACGTCGCATAAACTTGTGCTGAATAAGTTTATGCTGAATTTCTTTACGAAGGGGAAATGCCGCATAATTTATGTGGGAATATGTGGGTGATTTCGGTGCCCACTCACTCCCACACTTTCTCCTACTTTCTCCGTACGCCTGGCTCAAATGCATCTTAATTCGCAGCTGGAACATAAAAAACGATTCGTTTGAGTGGCGACAGATGTCCTATCCTTCGGTCTGCTTGTACCAAATACAACTGCAAAATACAGAAAGCAATCGAACCGCCGATTTCTGGGGCACAAAAGTGCAACGAACTGAAAGGCGACGCCAGCGAGTCTGGGCCAAGCCAAAAATAAGAACGAGGACCAAGTCATTGGGTCACAGGCCAAATAAAAAAATAAATGGCCAAGGATGGACGGGAAAAGCCAGCGGGGCAAAAACTCCCTGGCGCCAACAAAATTTTTATTGCAGCTCTCTCGAGTGCAGAGAAGGTGGTTTCCGTTTTTTTTTACCTTTCTGATTTTTTGAGCAAGTGCAGGTGTATCCCCACTGCAAGAATAAACAAAATGCAAAACGCAAATTCACAGGCCAAGTCAAACAGGAGAGTCTGGCTTGAAGTTCCCGGGCAGCCAAAAGGTTGAAGTTCCCTTTAAGCCACATAAAAAGAGGGAGGGAGAATGGGAAACCTTCGAGTGCTTAATCCCAAATTGTATCTTTAAGTTTGGGTTGCTGTCCGCCTGTTTTACGAGTTTCCTGCTCAATGGAGTAACCCCCATAAATCCCCGGGACCTTTTCCTTTGTGCTGCCCTTTTGGGTGACCCAAAACCCAAAGAACACCCCCCCTCCCTCCAACTACTCCAAAAACATATACAGGTGTGATTATCTTTATATCGATTCGAAAACTTCTTTGTAAGGGTCACAAAATCACTTTGAAGTACAATTACTCTCAATTAACAATGTAATGAAGCGCAATCGGTAAAGCCGGGGGATTTACCTTAAACACAATCAACACCCCCTCCCCCCATGGGTATTATAACTTTTGTAAATATATATCGTTTGTGGTTAAGTTTTCTTATGTGAGCAATTAAGTTCGATGTGTGTATGCTGCAGAACTTCAAGTGTTTTATTTTGTAAAGTGTTTGGTTTCATGTCTTTAAGTCATTTAACAAATATTCAAATGCTTTATATAGGTGGGACATTCTTTTCTTTGGTATTAGCCAAGATATTCTTCGGCTAAGCTAATTGCCCGCCATTGAAGCCCACCAATTTCAATTATTGCCAATTGTTTCAATTGTCTTTTAGTTAATTGCCTACTTTATACCACCCATTCCCCTCGATTTCAGTCAGTTGAGCCAAGTTGAGTTGTTTTTAAATTCCAAAGTCGTTTGTGGCATCAGCTTGGATTTGTTTTCCGCGTCTTATTCGGTGGGGGGATAGAAACAGGGGATTGGGATTTGTCGTGAGCAAGACGCTAAATAAATATGACACTCGAAAATTGAAACCCCCTTTCATCCTCTAAATGTAAATGATAAAAGATGGCAAGTTCCGATGGGGTGGGTTGAAAAGGGGGAATTTTTGCTGGGGACGGATGATTGGAATTCCATTTTTTGTTTGTTTGTTTGACTGCGTGCAATTTGCGTTTTTTTTTTCTCTTTCTTCGGCTTTTGCCGTTTATTTTAGGCGCGTGGAAATGCGCATAAGAAATATGCAAACAAAGGATACACTCGAAAAAAAAACCGCATGGAGCACTGAGCAAACATATCAATGCAAATCGTGGCGGGAAGGGGATGCCAAGTACCAAAACTGGGCACCCAAAAAGGAAAGTAAATCCCATATCACTTGGCCAGCATTATATCTACCCTCTCTCTGCCTTTTTTATTGCTATCTCTTACAGGTGTTGATGATAGAGCGATTTGGCCAAAGTTGGGGCGCCAAACTGCGTGGCTCAGCGAAAGGAGAAAACACGGTTAAACTGGACACGTGTCTCTAGTCCGGGAAAAGCCGATATTAGAGTGGGTTCCTGGATTGGGATTGCGAAAAAGGGGGAGAGGACAACACACTCGCGGAAATATTTCAAAACTGCTTATTTGAATTGGTACATTTTATTTTCGTTTCATTATAAATTAAGCATGTTTATGCGAAGAAGAAGTATCTGATAATAATATATAATAACAATATGTT